TCTCTCAATAAAATAAATCTTTAAAAAAAAAAGCACTGACATTTGTTGGAAGTCTCTCCTTTATTCCTTAGAATTAAAGAAAACTTCAATGACTTTCAGAGTATAAAGTTAGGGGCATCAATTTAAAAAGTCGTATTTTTATATGACTAAATAAATGGCATGTGAACACAAATGTCCAGTTGCCAAGATCTTGTTAGGGTCTGCCATGAGTCAAATAGCTAAGGTTCACTACCTATGGCCAAGGAGAAAGAAACAGAACATTGGCCTTCTGTTGTTTCATTTGCCCTGCATATATCCCAAAGTGTGAACTAGATTCCCTGTCCACTTTTTAGGTTTTCTTCTATAAGTTTCTTTTCCTAGCTCATTAGAGAAGTTTATCTCTATTGCTACTTTCTTTAGTAATAGTAGGTGAAAAGCAATGGCTCTTATAGAACTTAAAAACTAAATATGGGATATTATATTTTTAGAAAATAATAAACAAACACATTTGATAAATGTTAAGTGTTCATCAACTGCAGGAACTTCCAAAAACAACCATATTTATCCATATATGTAATAGCAGAAAATTACCATCTACGAATGGCAAGGATTCATATCATAAAGCCACAGAAGCTGTCTTTAAAATGGAGGAAAGCTTTTGTTTACTTAAATAATATGCCATTTAAACAGTAAAAGTGGGATAAATCTGAAGTAAAAATAACTCATTTCCTTGCTTCTTTGTGGCCAGAATGTGAATCGTGGTTTCAAAAGAGTTCCCAGGGCGGTTTACTCACGTGCAGCACATCCCCAGTGACATCTCCCATGACAAACCCACAACACCCATGAAAAACCTAGAAGGTCCAATATCTGTGTGCCAACTCCAGTTCAGCTGTACTGGGGTCATGCTTCTTCAAAACATGGGAGAGCCACTCAACGGAGGGCAAATCAAGATGACTGGATCCATAGCAATGGAGAAAAAGCAATGCATTTGTGATCTACTTGCTTCCTCTTAGGTCTATGCCTCCTTTTTAAAAACATACTTAAAAAAAAAAACACCACTCTGTTTAATTTTCAGCTCTCAGAACAGCAAAACAAAACTGTATAGGTCCTCAGTTAAGATTTAATTTTCTTTTCCCTAACATCCTTTTCGGTAGAGAAAGGGAGATGGTACCAATACAGTAGAAAATAGATAGGGAAAAAAGAATTTCAAAATGCCAAGTGAGGAGTAAAAGGCTACAGCTTTTGATCCCAGAGGTCACACGGGCAGGATTCGCAGTCTTTGCCAAACTAGAGGCAAAAACAATCTCTCTCCATACTCTGAACGTGAAGTCTATTTAAGATGTTGGGCTTATATGCCACACTGGTTTATTCTGCTTCTGATTACAATGAGAGCTCAAAGCAAGGACTGCTTCCTTGTTCTTCAACATGTGGCACTCAGACCCCCAACATCACAGAGGAACTTTTTTAGAAAAGCAGACTTCCAGGCCCAACCCCAGAGGTCCTGAATCAGAATCTGCATTCTAACAAGATGCCCAGGTGATTGGTTTGAGAAGCACTGCTCTAGCGGACTTGGAATGAGGAGGTGGACAGCTAATCCCTTCCTACGGAGGGTGTCTGCCTCTTCAATGCAAGTAAATTCACCACCGTGTCCTGCAGGTCAACTTCTATCAAACCTTGGAGGAAAAAAATTTGAACCGTGAGTCCCTGTTCTGCCACTTGCTAAAGTTACTGAACTTCTCTGAGTGACCTCTCCTTACCCCAAAAAACAAACAAACAATTTTCCAGGGCTGTTATGAGAATTAGATGCATGAGTAGTGTAAGAAAGCCCAGGAATGTGCCTGGCACAAGGTTGAAAACTACATCTGACTCAGTACGGAAATATAGCATCTGCAAACATTGTTTTAACACTGAAAGAATAACGCTAATTCTCCCAAAGTTAGACACACATTTCACACAATTCCAACAAAAATCTCAACAGATATTTTTAATTATATAAAATAAACTTTAAGTCCATAGGGGAAAAGAAGCCCTAATGAAAACAAGAAGGGTGGGTGCTTTGAAAGAACAGAGAATATGAAAGAATATTTAAAATCCTAGAGAAAAATTCTATTAAAAACAGCATATGAAAATTTGTTTAACTATTGTATAGTAACAGTATAAATGAAATCAACAGGCAAACAATAAGGCAAACCTATATGGTAAATATGAAATATTTAAGGAATATGAATTATGAAATGAAATAATATATAAGAAATATATATAGGTCTAAAGAAAATTATGCTCATGCTCAACTGCGAGGGGAGGGAAAAAAAAACAAAGCAACAGTGAAATAATATTTTAAACCTTTCCAACTGACAAAAATTAAAAGGTGTCAGTACACCAACAAGATCCAACAAATAATTGTGCGCATATAATGAGGTGTATTTGTGTTCTTCTTCCTAAGGAATAGATTCCCAGGACAGGATTTCTGGGTCAAAGAAATGTAGCAGTGGTAGTGATATTAATCATAACAGTAACAATTACTGCTATTACTAACACAGGGGTTCCCTTGACTAAGCAATCTACCTCCTGATAATCTACTTGAGCATCATTACTGTAGTAATGAGTGGTAATCACCACAAATACTACTATCTACTGTGACTACTACCACATAGAGAACACTGTTATGTGCAACTGTTTCAAGCACTTTGCATGTATTAACTCTAATTCTCACAACAGCTCTAAAAAAAGAGGAACTTTCATCCTTATTTCACAGACTGGGAAACTGAAGCACTATATGCGCCTGGCCTATGTAAGAACTATACAAAGATTAGCTATTTTGTTATTTTCGATATCACGTATCCTCCAATGTAGCAATCTCACTCCTGTGACTAAATGAGAAAAACAATTTAACAAAAAAATATTGTGAATGTACATATAAATGTACATGAATGGGTATATGTGGACAGGTATGAGTAAATAAATCTTTGTATGAAATAAAGAAAAGTACAGAGGGATCCATACGAGGCGGTTAGCGTGGATTATTTTGTTGGGGGTGAAGCTGGCAGAAGAAGAGGGCTAGAGAAAGGGCAAATGGATCTTAACAAATAAATATGTCAGAACATGCACAGAGAAAGTGAGAAAGTTGAAGTACAGGATAACAACAAAGACAGAACATTTTACATTCTTTGGGGATAGAATGAGCCCTGGAAGAATTCAAGGAATAAGATTTTTTAAGCAAATTCATTACTCAGAAGAGCAATATTTTTGTTAAATGATTGGGGTTCCCCCCACCCCTACATAATACAGATTATTAAGAAAATCCAAATCAGTATTCTTTGGGCAGCATCAACAAAAATCCCAGTAATTCCAAGATTGAGAACTCCATAATTATCCATGTAAAGGCATTATCTAGGAGCAAGAAAACTAAGTGGGGCTACTGATCCTGTCACCATTGGGCCATTTAACCTCTGGCCAGTCACTAACTTACACTTAGTTTTCTCATCCACAAAGTAAGGAAGTTCAACCAGGTCATAAATCCCCTTTTAGTTATAAAAATGTGATGATTCTAAAATTAAAAAGCATAAAGTAGAAGAGTGAAAAACTAGTAAACAGAAGTGATATTTTACATTAAAAAAAAAAAAACAAAGTTCAGGGGCATCTGGGTGCCTCAGTTGTTAGGCATCTGCCTTCGGCTCAGGTCATGGTTCCAGGGTCCTGGGATTGAGCCCCATATGGGGCTCCCTGCTCCGTGGGAAGCCTGCTCCCCCTTTCCCACTCCACCTGCTTGTGTTTCCTCTCTCACTGTGTCTCTCTCTGTCAAATAAATAAATAAAATCTTTAAAAAAAAAAAAGTTCAAAATCTTAACCTTATAACTAAGCAGGTAATTTAATGACCCATTGAAAAAGGTATATATTTAGAATTAAAAGTTGCAATAAGATCACTTAGTGATTTTACATTTCCAACTAGTGAATTTAACTATTTGATGCTTTTTAATTTTCATGTAGAGAAAAAAATGCTGCCAGTTTAGGTACCTTTCAGATTACTCACTGAAGTAAGGCTTAATTTGTCACTTTAAAATGGAGCCACCCATAGGGACTAGCTCAAACCAAAATGTCATCCTCTAGAGAACACATGTACCTCTTTTATGAGAAGAGGCTGGCAAATGGCAGCCAGTCAGCCAGATAAATAAATCACACATGAAAATTTCTAATAGAAAATGATGAATATAATTATTAATAGAATACAAAATTGGCAAAAACGATCCACTTAAGCATGACAGCTTCTCGAAGCAACAAAGTTTTAATTTTTATATTTTCCTCATAATTTTTATAAATAATAACGTGATTATTAATAACATTTAAAATTTATGCCTGGGTGCAAAGCATAGAAAGTCACTAGGTCATACAGCATAAAGATTTCCATGAGCTTGTTAAATTTTATGTATTTTATTTCCTTAAATGGTTATGGGATTTTGCAAAAGCATACACAAAATTCCTTAAAACTTTGCCAACTTAGAAATAGTTACATGAAAACCACCTTTTCAGGCTGTATGGAATCTCCTAGAAAAATTTACCCAGTCTTTTGATAGGATATCTGTGTATGAATTCCTACAAAAACAGAGCAAGACTGCTTGCCCCAACCAGATTTTATAGGCTAGTCTGAGAGGTAAGGAAACAATTTATGGCTTGGACAGTTATCTGAAATTCCTGAAAACAAGCAGTTCCCTAAGTAGTATGTCATAATTTTCTTATCTACAAGCACAAGCACGTGCATTTATTTATATCCCTAGATTAACTTCAAGTCTAATTTTACTGCCACCAGTATCCAGGCGTCGATTTCTTTTTTTCGAATTACCAACGGCACTTGAGCTAGATCAAAGGCATTTTAAGGTCAAAATTTACTTCTCTGAAAAGTAGAGGGTGCGATCCTATGTAATTAATTAATGCTTAGCCATGCCCTTCGGCGCATTAAGGGGTGGCTGTAGGAAACCGAGTCCAGCCGTCCCCACCTGTTGGTGCAGTGGAACCGTTTGACTTACCCAAAAGAGCAGATTGAGGGCGTAGAGAAGGCAGCGCAGGCACTTCACGGAATCTTCTCTGGCCATTGTGAGCCCCGAAAGGGAAAAGCCCCATCTTTTCACCACATCCTACTCCCACCGGCAAAGTAGCAGCGATCTGCAGGGGCAGGGAGAACAGGGGACTGATCACCGCGCTCCACACCCCCAGCCCATCCCTCCTCTGCCGGCCCTCCGCTGGGTCCCGAGTCTGGTCCGAAGCCTAGGTCATTGGAGACATCGCTTCCTCGATCAGGTCTTAAAGTTGTAATTGTAACCTAAACTCCCCCAAAGTTCCAGACCGGCTTCAGATGACACCTGCTGCGAAGAGAAAAGATTGACTCCCGGATGAATGAAGGCACACAGTAAACTCCCGTTCTCTGGGGACCCGCGGCGGTGTCCTCTGCATTCTGATGAGGCGCTCTTTAAAACCTCCCTCAGTCCACGCCCCTCCTCGGGGACAGCTCAGCTCGGAACTGTCCCGAAGGTTGGAAACCACACTACCCCCGGGAGACGTCAGAGGCGCCGCCGGCGAGTCCGCGCCTGCAAGTGTCCCTCTCATGAGGACAGCTCCTGGGCCCCCCAACTCCGCACCCCCCAGCCCATTCGCAGTTTGAGTGTGAACACCGGGCACTGGGGGGCGCGGCGCTGAGCTGGGATTCCGCCCGGCGACTAGGGTTTCTTTGGGAGAACGTGAGAAATGGTGCTTCGGCCCGGAATGATGGATTAGCCCGGGGCGGGGGCGGGAGGGGCGCAGGGGAATTAGGACCGGTGCAGCTGTGCAGACGCCGGGTTAGTCACTCACGTCCCCCTCCCCCGGCCCCGGCCGCTGCCGCGACCCCGCGCTCCCGGCCGCCGGAGCAGCACAAAGCCGAGCGCGGTCCCCCGCCCCGCCACCGCGTCCGCGTCCGCGCGCCCCCGGCAGGGCGCGGGGGGAAGCGCCGGCGGCGGGCAGCCCCACCGCCAGCCTCTAAGTAGTTGAGCACACGGCGCCGAGGACAGCCGCCCGCGGGCTGGCGGGACAGCCGGCTGGAAAGACGGGAGACGTGCGGCCACTCACCGTCGGCGCTGGGCTCCGTGCCCCACTCCCGCCGGGGGACGGTCGGAGACGCACTGCGGGGGCTCATCAGGGCAGGGACGCTCCTCCGCGAGAGCCGAAGGGCTGCATTGGCTCAAGCAGGAGACGCTTCCTTCTCTTCCTCTCCCCCGCCGCCGCCGCCGTCGCCGCCTCCTGGGAAAAAGAAAAAAAAAAAAAAAAAGAGTCCTGGGCAGCAGTTGCTGGAAAGTCTCTGTTAAGCCACCTCCCAGCGCCGCTGTCCCTCCCAAGTCCTCGCCAAGCCCGGACGAGGCAGCGGCGGCAGCCAGGGCCAGCTGCACAAACTCTCAGCGCATGCTCCGGCCTCTGGCTGCCGGGGTTGGATCTGAGTGGGTGTTTCTTGTCCCTTCACCCGGCGTGAGCCCCCGAAGGGGCGCCTCACCTCTACAAGACACGGTCCAGAAAGAGAGAAAGCCTATGGACTTTGCGAAGGTCCGCGCAGTAAATCCCTTTAAAATGGTGGTATCCGAGGAGGGGAGGCTGGGTTATAACCATAGGGAAACAGACTTTTATTATATGAAAATATTTGTGTTTGAGAAGGGGGGGGTGGTGAAGGAGTGGCCCAACCCAATTCCTGCAATGAGAAACTAGTTTTCACAACCTTTCTGGAACCACCTCCTGTGATTTGTCACTAACATGGTGCCCTATGATCCTTCTTAATGCTTTGTTGTCCTCCTGGTTTCAAAAAACAAAAATAAAAACAGTTCTTCCCACTTCCATGGTGCACTGATAGAATTTATGTAAACACCAGAGTAAACGAGTCCTGGTCTGATATCCAGAATAGAACGAACATTTTTTTTTTTTAACTCTTTCACAAGCAACCCAAAGTTTCCAAAATTTTCTCCCAATAAGGTTGTCTGAGTTTTAATTGGATGACTTAACTTGAATTGTGTACAGAGTAAGGCGTCTTTGAATTTGTTTTTAAACTAGAAATTCAGGAAGTATTAAAGTAATAATAGGAGGCTATCCTTCCAAAAATACCTTCCCTTTTGGAAGTAAGAAGTTTCACACTTAAAAAAATCACTCAGTCATAGTCCCCATATAAAATTGTGATGTTTAATGCCTCATGATAGTTCACATTTCTGATTACTTCTGTGCACACTGTGTGGCAAATAAAACTACTAACAACTAAAAATTCCATGAAATACAAGCAACATCTTTGAGAAAACCTAATAATGGAAGCCCTCCTTAAATTTCTTTAGGGGAAAAAAGAAAATTGGAGTTCTGTGTCTCTCATCACCCGAATGGAATCAGTTGCTGCATGACCAGAATGACAATGAGACACACACTCTCATTTGGGTAGAGGTAAACTCAAGACTAAAAGATAACCTGAGAGTTCTGGGTTAAGGTTAGGAAAAATCTTGGTAAACAAGTCACTAAGCTGAATGTAAGGCAGCAAGCCCAAAGAACACAAAGGTAGACATCCACACAAAAGACCAAGAAAAACCTGCAGTGACCCATCAGATGACTCTAACTCTGGCAGTAAAGGATCTTCTGGAATCATGGAGAAGAGTAAAGAAACCCGTCTTTTATCCTCTATCAGTTTGTGCTCAAATTAGGCTGTACACCAGCTCTCAGCAGAGGACTGCTGAGAAACCTGCCATCTGAACACTCTTGGTACCACATGTTCCGCTATGAGGTAGAACCATCCCCATTCGAGGGGAGTCTATGACTGCCATCAAAACTGACCAAAAGAATGCAAAGAATTCCCATGTCACTGAACAGAGGTCCTCCTCTACTTTGAGAAAGCAGTTAGGTTGCCTTTTCATAATTCATAAACTTTAATAATATACTTTATTTACTTATTTGAGAGAGAGAGAGAGTGAGTGACTAGGGAGACAGGCAAAGAGAGAAGGAGAGAATCTCAAGCAGACTAGGCGCTGAGCTTGGAGCTCGATCTCATGACCTTGAGATTGTGACCCAAGCTGAAATCAAGAGTTGGTTGCTCAGCCAACTGAGCCACCAGCTGCTCCATAATTCATAAACTTTTAAGGGCCCTAGAATAATAAAATTTTGAAGGACAGTGCTTTAGAAATATGTATATCCCACCTCCCTTTAATAAATAAGAAATATAGAGCCAAGAGAAAGAAAGTAAAGAAGTTGCTCAATGTTACATCTCTGGTTAAATCAGATTCTAAACTAAAATTCAGAATCCTAAATCTCTAGTATGCTAGCGCAGTGATTCTCAAAGGTTCTGTACATTCGAATCACTTGGAGAGCTTTGAAGAAATCCTAATACTTAAGCAATACCCCACAGCAATTAAATCAGAATCTCTGCAGATGTGGCCTAGGCATCTAGATTTTTCCAAGTTCCCAAGTTAATTTTGCTCTGCAGTGAAGTTTGGAAACCATTGCAACTAGTGCTTTACAGATGCCAGGAAAACCAGCCAAGGAGTCTCCTCAGACTTAGCTGGATCAAATCCCTCCCCTGTGAGCTGATAAATTGGGATTAATATCCCCATTTTACAAGTTCCGAAGAACAGAGCTGCTATAATATTCCTGATAAATGGTCATCAGAGTCTGTGTCAACACTTCCATAGAGGAGTCCTCAGCACATGGGAGGCATGGCTGGGCCTCCAGTACTGGGCACTTCTGATTGTTCAAACCTGACCACGCCTCCTCTGCTTATCTTCTCCCCTTCAACTCTAGCTCTGCCTCTTGGAGTCCACAGCATGAGCAGTCCTCCCATCTGACAGCCCTTCCACTCCTTAAGGGCAGCTAACATTGCCTCCTTCTCCATTTCTTTTCTTCACTAGGATTATAGGAGCATGGGAAGACTCTCCGGGAGAAAAACTTCTTTTGTGCACAAAAGGAAGCTAGAAAAAATAGGGTCATGACTAATTTGAATATAAAGTAACACATTAGAAAGATTGTATCATCTATGCGTTGCCCATGAGGTAGGAACCCAGCTCTGTGGTCATGTCTGCTTCGTTATGTTCCTTTAGAGTGTATGGCACCTACAGTGCCACATGCTGAAGATACTAAGAAAGCGATGGGTCTCTATCCTCCAGGAAAAGGAAAAACTATTCTTTTCAGTTTAGGTACTACTAACAGCTGCTATTTATGAGCAATCTCATATGTGCCAATCCCAGAGTTAGGAGTAAAACTCAGCTATGCAAATACATACGTACATAAATGAAAAACGAAAAAGAGTAAAACTCAGCTATGCAGTAAGGTGATACACGGTTCTCACCCCACAAACAACTCATTTGTCCACATCGATTGCACTCACTCTGCTCAAGTTGTGCAGAGGGAAGGAGCAGCATAGGGACTTGGTTGGAAGGATGAACTTCTATGGCTTCTTAGTATAAGATTCTTACAAGTGCACCTCAGAGGGCTCTTTATAATCAGTACAAGAAAGAGACTTAATATGTTTTAAGTAATATGTGCCTGACATAAATGGTGCTTCTCAAAATGTATCTTATTAATTCCTCATAACTACATAGTGAGATACTGAGACTCAGATGGTTGATTTCTCCAGCCCCATACAAGGAGTAAGTAAAGAAACTGAGATTTTAGGATCTGTCTGACTCTTTCTACAGTTAATCTGCATTACAATAATATTTCAAATTGGGGTAAGGATTCATTGACAAGTCTCATGAAGAGAAAGATTTTAGACGTTTTGACTAGTTCTTGAGAATATGATGCTGAATTCCAGAAATACATATACTCAAACTATAATTGGTAACTCTACTTTCACCTTTTACCTCTGAAAGAGTGTACCCAATTGGACCTGAGAAAAACCTTTCATTACTGAATTAGGTAAATTCAGTATTAGGTAAATTGCTCTCAACTACAAGCCTTATGTTGGCAAATAAAATGCAAGGTTGCCAGTTAGACTAGAATTTCAGAGAAACAACAAATAATGTTTTGGTATAAGGATGTCCCAAATATTGCATGGGACAAATACCCTCATTGAGCATCCATATACTAAAAAACTATTCATTGTTTATCTGAAATTCAAATTTATCTGTGCATCCTACATTTTTATTTATTTGCTAACTCTGACAGCCCTAAGCAAACTAGAAAATTCAGCTGAAAGTGCCACAGCAGTAAGGATATAAGTAAATATACTATTTCACATAACAGTAAGTCCAAAAAGAGCAACTCATCCACTCGACAGTGACATCAAGGAATGTGTTCTTTCTCTACCTTACTCTTCTGATGTGCACAAGGTATAAGCTAGTGTCCTTGGGCTTCCTCTTCTCATGATTGCAAGATGGCAGTGCAACTCCAGGCATTGTATTGAGTTACTACTTCTTCTAGAGGAGGAGGAATTATTCCCTTCTATGGGTCTCTCTTAGGATCAGGGAAACCCCTCCCAGAAGTTTTGTAGCAGGTCATCCCTTGTGATTCATTAGCTAGAGCCCCATCTCATACTCATGTATGTGTCAGTTATTGGCAAAGCCTGCTGTGACTGATTTAAAACAATCAGAATGCATTCCGTGTGTCTTGGGTAACACTTCTCTGAAGCACATGGCCAAACAGAGGAGGATAGATAACTGAAGAGAGGCAGAATTCTGGTTGAACTTCAGAGTAGAGAAAAGAATGGATGCTACCATCTTCTTTCCTGTTCACTGCTAAAACATCCCAGCTTTCAGACAACTATTTCTCGGCAGTACTCAGCAAAGGCCCTTAGTTACTGAGAGAACCACTGAAGCAGGAACCTACTGGCAACAGCAAAAGATCCTAAGAGAACCCCATCACGTCATTTCCATCTCATTACATAAGCTTACATCTCGCACCCGTATTTGCCTTTGTACACTATACTATTGATTAAAGGATTGCCTAAATCAGCGCCCTCATAAAAGCCCCTGGAAGACCTTCCTCTTGAAGTTTATCCAAACTCAGCATCTGTACGAAGTTCAGAGATTTGGACTAATTTCATCAGTTTACATTGGTACAAATAATCTAGTCTTATTCAATAAATATTTATTGAACTGTTACCACAAACTCAGAATTGTGGTAGGAGATACCAAAAGTTCTAACATAATTTTGACTCTCAAAGAATTTATAACTTCATTAGCATACTTCTCTTCAGAAGGCAAAATTTATAGAATGTAAGAACTCGTTCCCTTTGTAAGAAGTCTTAATTTACAGTTCTTTGAAACAAACTGTACAGGTTCCATTTACAAACAGCTGCTAAAGCCTACCTTTCCGACAAAGATCCCTCAGGAATCATTCCATTATCCCACTACATCAGCTTCTTGTCATGCCCATGATGTAACAATAGGACGAGCATAGTGACCATGAATACCAGACATTTGTCTTCA